TTCAAAATGTGGAGCTGTGGATGTAGCTCAGTTTGTGAGGAGCTTGCCTAGCGTACATGAAGTCCTATGCTCAATGCTCAGCACAACATATACTGGCCATGGTGGTTTGCGCCTGTACTTTCAACCTGGAATGCATGAAACATTATTTCAGCAAACATAGAAACAAAAAAAAATGTTTATTTGTGAATTTATTTATTTTTCTCCTTTTGGATCACAGATAAATCTCTCGATTCATCCACTCACAGCTTTAACACAAAAATAGCTGGAATGAGTTCCAGGTTCCATGGCATTAAAGTGACAGCTGCTTTCCTGGGTTCTGAGAGGAAAGAACAGTATGAGGAGTCATTTGATTGGCATTACAGTTACAGCCTTACAGGCTTTAAAGAGGAAAGGAGAGTATGATGCTTCATTTCTTTTCAGAGGCAAATTTTTAAATCCATGTCTCTTTTGAAGTGTTGACTGGATAACCCCCTATATTTAGGAAATAGTCTGTAAAAATAAAACAATAGAATTCCCTCAGAAATCAACCTTAGTGGATAGTGGCTTATTTGCTCCAATAATTAAGAGGGTTTCTATTAGAAATTTTGAGGCATTTGAATCTGCCCCAAATAACCCCTCTACCCTAAAGTGTACATGTACTTTTTATATAATATTATTCCAAAAACTTGCTAATGAATTAATAGATAATTTAAAAGTAAAACCCAACAATAAGTTCACCAACACCAGATAGTTGGTTCTGCGATGCTGCGACACACCTTTTACTTCATGTTGTAGATGTGGTTCTGAAACGTTCAAATTGAGACTGCAAATGAATAATTTGAAATGCATATTTGAAAATTAAAACATCAGGATGTATTCTCTCTTACCCTCATTGTTCAGTTGGAAAGAGGACTTTTCCAGAGCAGAGAAGCCAGAAGAGAAAGGGCCAGAGCAGCAGCCCCCATCTTCAGACAGTTTCATGCTTTCAAGTGTAACCTAGTTGTATAATAGTAAAACATTTTTCCATCTCCAAAACAAATTTCAACTACAGGGAGGTCTTTATGGAAGCATTTTAAAATGACTTCCCCGGAGTGCTACAATTTGGAAAGAATGGTAATTTGCTAGTATGTAGGTATCAACTGATTTTCTTTAATTGGACACAATTTTCATCTACTGTTAGTTTCCAATTTGGGAACAATAAAACTTGTATTAAATGCCTCTGAAATAAAAAAAAAAAACTTCTCAGTCGTAATCTTTTTAAAGAAATGAAGAAAGCAGAAGCTTACAATACCACTCTAAAGAATGATTCTATTAACAACACCAACAAAAAGTTTGGCTGTGTTTGTGAGGTTCTCGAGGGCAGGAGCTGTGTTGTGTTGACCAGTCCATGTTTGCACATTGCAAAATGCCCGGCAGTCAACAGTATGCATTTAATAAAGCAGCCATAGCTGTTGGTAGGGAAGCATGAATGCACAGTAGATATTAATAACCACGTTGAGATGATATGAATAATGATAACTCATATCAATAAACTGAGTTAGGTTACGGGAAAAGACAGACAACTTTTTGCACTAACAATAAAGTTTGATTGAATCCATGTTAGAGTCCAGTCACATTTGTTACCACTCCACATTCTCATCCCTATAAAGCACACCATAATCCCCAATAATCACCCCTTTACCTAGCTTAAGACATCGTATTAAATCCTAACTTGATAGTTAGACCTCTGGATAGCTAAACATTGATGTAAAACAATGCTACTTACAATCAGAAAAAGACCTTTAACCTGTGATTATAGCTGAATCTTCTAAGGAATTTAATGTGTTTAATTCTGATACTCACCAATGGAACAAAATAGAACCTTTGACATCGTGGATAGAGAAAAAGTTGAGGGAGTTGCACATTAACATGTGGGTTTGATGTGTCAGAAATATAGCAGAAAAAGTTGGATAAGTAAAGTTAAATATCAGACATGTAAGCTTCAGGATGAAGTAGTCTATTACTACTCCATTCTGTGTCCTTCCTCTACCTATATAACATTTAATATTAATCTTACCTTTAAGTGACATAAAATTAGCCAATATAATCAATAAAAATACTCTCTAAAGTGTACATAAAAAGAATAAATATGAATTTTATGCTACTTAGCAAACAGGGTGCATTCATTAATCATATTTGTATGTTAGGAATGAAGGATCTAGAAATGGACACCTGCCCAACCCATGCTGCCTACTTGCTCTGCCCACAGAAACATGGTGTAGTAGCAGAAATGAAAATGCAATAATGAAAATAATATCAAGTGCTGAAAGACAGAGAATTAGCCTTTCCCTTGAATGAGCTTGCTAATTGGTTAGCCAATACATGGTAGGCAGCCCTAGAATCATATGCACACAAACAACAATAATGAACTCAGCAGATTATATTTATATTTATGTGTCTATTTATATATATGCAATGGTAATAATCTAAGAAAACTAGGTCATCAATTTAAGAAGAAGGCTGGGGGTGTAGGGGATTAGCTGGGGGAAGGAAAGAAAGAAAGGAAATGATATAATTATATTTTGATTAAAAATATATTAAATTAAAAAGGAAGAGTGAAATCAGAGTTACTATTTCCAAGTAGCAGTCACTGCAACACCTGATGCACTATTTTTTACTTTCAGCTGTACTATTTCCATGAAATTATTAGCATCCAGTTCTAGATAATACCCTCCTGGGCAGAATACAAAGGGAAGAAACCTCATTTGCACACAAAGCATAATTATTCGTCCAGCTCCAACCATATTAATCAAAGCGAATTTTTAATATTGTATGTTTTTTAAAGCAGAATTTTCATGTAGTCAGGGCCTTAAGTTTCATAGGAATATGGAATTCTAGAAAAAGGAGAGGGAAATATTAGAAGGCCTTGAATTAGTGATCAATGGCTAGGAAAGTGTGGCTTGGAGAGAACGAAATGAGCTTGGTCGGAGTGGATATAAGAGTGCCTGTGTGAGCAGGGGAAGGGAAGGCAGGGCACTGTTGGTGGAGGAGGGAAGGGAAGACAGGCCGGTGTTGGTGGAGGGAAGGGCTTCTTGGCTCTAAGGCTTGTGTTCATGGGATATCTGGGAGGAAGAAAGGGCAATACTGAGCAAAAACCAGTTCAAAGGAATGAGCAGCTGCTGCCAGGCAATGTCCATCACTGCTCTGGAGTGCATCCCTGGATTTATTTGGAGCGGGGGATGGGGGGGGGTGTATCATCTGAAGACTGACTTACATGGAAGCAACTGTCCAGCTTAAGTGTGTTCTCCTTACAGGGTGGCCCAGGGTGAGGAGGGGACGCCTACTCCCTCACGGCATCTCTACAGACTTCATTTTTACTCTGGAAAGCCCCAGAAAGCTGGAATGCTTCAGAGAATTGTTGGGTGGGACTGGTGTTAGAAGTCCAGTGTCCAGAATCTAAGGTTTGTGTTCCTTTGGCTGCACCAATAAGTCAAAGTAAGAATTGACTAAGGGTGTGTAGGCACAGTAGGTGAAATGTCAGCAGGAGTTAAATTACATCATGCCTCAAGATTAGCCTCAAGATTTTGTGGTACTGACGTTTAATCTCTAATGTGGGCCAAGTGACTAGTAAAGGAGCTCCCTGGTCTTCCTGTCATCCCATGTTCTTGCGACTTGTATTTATTTTGTCTGTTCAATAACAAAATATCGCCATGTCCTAGTTTATGCTCAAGGCTTACCTGAAGTTTATAGAAAAAAAAATGGAACAGAACGAGAATGACACTTTTGATTTATTTTCTTTTGAGACAAACCCAATTCATCTAAGTTGATTCAACAAATACCAAAATCATTGAGAATATTTGAACAAGAAATAAAAATAAATCATATCCCAGAGGCTCCTATATCTAGTCACACAAAGATGGCTTTTCCTCTGCTGCTCATAATTCATTTTATAACAATCCTTTGAAACCTAGTGAAGTAAAAAGGAGGGAGTAAATGCTGAACTTCAATCCTATAGGGCAATTAAGTTGCAGGGGAGACTGGAAATCTCTGCAGACACTCTTCTTGGAGAGAGTTCCTCAAGAGTTTGTAGAATTGTACCAAAGTAAAGGCAGAGTACAGAATGCACTGCTGATTTGGGGGTAGAGCATTATAGATGACTTTGTTAATTCAGTAACTGTATGGACATTTAAATTGTCATAATCTATCTCTAGAAGGATGTACCAGAAACATAGTCATCATATCTCTAAAAAAATAACAGTTTATCCCCACACCTATATAAACTACTCATATGAGTCAGAGGAAGAGTATTTTTCTAACTGTTAGAGCTCAATTTATTGAATATGTACTTATGTTTTACATTAGAGATCAAAATCTGAGGCATAATTTTTCATGTGCTCTCAAAGAGAGCACAAAAATATATATTAGACTGTTAACACAATTCAGTCAGTATAAGAACATTTCAAACACTGAATAATAATATTTGTATAAGTCTACTGTAACTTTGTTGCTATTATTATATTTAATTTTTCTAGTAAGAAAAACAGGATGCTTCAGGATTTACAGGTAAAGAATTTGATTTCTTTAGGATTGTTCTTAAGCTGTATTTTTGCTAGAAATACAGATGAAAGGAAAACCTCCTCATCTATCCAAATTATTAAAATGTGACCACTTGTACATTAAAACATTTCTTGATACTGAACATATTGATGAAAGAGAAATAAAACCATGAGCATTTCTCCTGAGTTCTTTTTCATTGGTTTTGAAATGAAAACAAAACAGAAGCAAAAGCAAAACAAAAAAGACTAAATGCAGATCAATGTAAGGGTCTAACAATTATCTCCACCTAATTTGTTTTACAAAATATGCTGGGTTTTCTACTACTCATCTTAGAGAGGAAAATTTATCAGAAATCACTTCTAATTTTAGCAGAATCAAGGCATGCAAGAAATAGCTTGACAGGGATGTGAAAATAAATGCAATAGTTAAAAGAGAAACCTAAACTGGAGATTTTTTTTTTTTATCAGTTTTCACATTTAGCTTACCTTGTGAGAAGTCTGCGGAACTCCTAACTTTAGAGTCCTGTCTGCAGTTTATCCCAAACTTAGCCCTGATGGTGAGTTTCTTTCCGTGTTTTTATAGTCTCAGTTCTACTTCACTTGCTCCAACCCCTGCCGCTGCTTTTTCTTACATCAGTTCTACAGATTTTCCATGGAACATTTCCCTAGCACACACATTCTCTCTCTCTCTCTCTCTCTCTCTCTCTCTCTCTCTCTCTCTCTCTCTCTCTCTCTCTCTCTCTCTCTCCCCCTCCCTCCCCCCTCCTCCCTTCCCTTCCTCCCTCCCCCTCTCCTCTTTTACCCAACCTCCTCCTTGATCCCTCCCTTCTCTCCAACCCCCCCACTCCCCCTCTCCCCCTCTCCTTCTCCTCATTTCCTTTCCACATTTGTTCTATCTATTGCTTTGATTGTGACATTTGAGTAGCTTAACTATGGAAAACTTAAGTACACACTTAGCTTCTTGTTCGGCTTCAGACGCATCATCTCTATCAGAGGTTTTAGTCCAGCTTTGAATAGTAAAATTTGTATTTCGGAAATTAAATACACAAAGATTTGTAAAAGTCACCAGGGCATTTCACAGCAACATTTTAAAAGATTTTAATCAGATACAATCTGATTTTTTGGTGTACTTTGGGACCCTTATATAATTGACCTTTTACAAAAATGATGGGTAATTTGAGCCTCAGGTGCACTGTGATGTGTCAGTGAAGCAGACATGCACTTCTTAATTGACATGGCTACACTAGAAAACGTGTCACTAACAAACCTATGAATACCACACCATGACATGTGGCTGTAAATGCAGCGGTATAGACACCCTTATCTTGCTCTTGTTCTCTTTTATTTTAATTTCATTTCAACCAAAACTTTCCTTGTTCTTTCTAAAGGTTTGCTTCAGCTTCATCTTCTGAAAATCACATTTTCCTGCACATGGACATTGTTAAAAACAAATGATTGGGTTTATAGGTGCATGCTATGTTATTAGATCATCATGGGCTTGTGTGATTCACTGTGGGCCTCCATTTATCAGATACAGCATCTAAGGGTCAGAAGAGTCACTGACTTAATGAGGACACATAGCTAAGGACCCTGTCTGAACCGGATAACAAATGCAGATTTTATTTTCACATCCTGTCCTTTGCCCATGCTTGCATTCTGTCTATTTCAAAAGCCACCAAACAGAATCTAAACCAGATTATATTTTTCTCCAATAGAAATAAATTTGTTCTTTTTGGTTTTGCTTACAAGCCATTTAAAATACTATTCACTAGCATGGGAACTATTGCATGGTTAATTTGGAGTTACACAGGCGAACTGACCAGAGCACACTGAACTGGTGGGACAGTAAAATGCTTCGTTTTTATGAAGGGCTTCCAGGGACAACATATGTCTCAACAAGCCTGAAATCTGAGTAGTCGGCAGCAGTGGTTCACAAGTCAATATAAAAATACAGCCTAGTTGTGGAACCTTGTTTAGACATTAATATAAAACAATTTGTTAAGCTTGAATTCACATGATGGAAAATTCTCAATATAGTTTTAATGGATGCATCATGATGCTGCCACAGCCAGGATCTATGATGTCCCACCCGCCTCAGCTTTCTGACAAGTGATATCTACAGCTGATTTATTCCAGATCTGTCCTTGTTACACAGTCCAAAGATTCTAGCCTATTTGTGGATTGTGTTGACCTAATTCAAAAACTTGACTTAACTGTTCTGCAGCAGAAAAAAATAGCAACAGTTTATTCCAGGAACACAGCCATGGTACATTTAAGTCATTTGTACAGGCTTCTGTATGTTGCACATTTCTGTGGGACTTGCTTTTGTGCTTTACATTATCTTGCTAAAGAGAGGAGAGAGGGAACATGCAAAGATGTATAAAGATGAAGAAAACAGGCATCCAGTGATAGATGGGGAAGATTAAGACAAGAAAGAGAAAACATTATTGAAAGATTTTTCAGTGAGCTGATCCTTATTTCATTCAGATAACAGCCTTGTCAAGGAGGTATTATTCACAAGTAACAGCAAACAAACACAGCACATCTTTTAAAAGCATAGTCCAAGTCCTCATAGCTTGAATATGATGGGGTCAGAAATTGTCGATTGTTATTTTTATTAGTTGGGATTCTGGCAGTAAAGAGGAGGCATGTTCAAACTGAGAAAACGAAGACTATGAATAATAATGCAATTTGAGCATTGTGCACATATAAGAAGAGATAGTCAATAAGCAATCCACTAAAAGACAAACACCACTAGTCCTAAAGGACTATGTTACTGATTATAGGGACCCCCAAACTGAAGAATCTAGGTAGACACAGTCAGCTATGATCTTTCATTAAAAAAAAACAAAGGCATATTAAATGCGGTATTATTTACAATAGGCAATAATGGAATCATTGGATGATGGATAAGCACAAAGTGGTATGGACACATCATGGAGCATTATTTATTATATTGTTATATTTGTTATATTGTTGCAGGAGAGTGAGTGGAATGGATAACCAACCATGACAGTAAGTAAAAAAAAGCCAGACTCAGACATGTCTTATCTATTTCCTTTCTACATGTAGAGAGTAGAAAAATTACATGATAGTAGAAGTGGATCTCTTAAGGAAGGGGAAAGGGATCAGTGAGAGAGGAGGAGAGATACAAAATGAAAATGGTATAATCAAAATGTATTATATTCACACATGCAAATGTCACAACAAAAGCAATTACTTTGTATGATTAATACACCTTAATTAAAAGAAAAAAAAATTTCTCTTAGAACATAAATGCAGATCAAGGGTAGATCATTTGTCTAGTTTTTATGAAGTCTTGGATTTGATCTCCAGGAATCCAAAAACAAAATAAAAACAAACTCTCCAAATACAATTTTCAAAGAAACAAAGCCAGTGAGAAAGCCAGAGAAGAGCTACCTCTAGGGAAGGGAACTTACAACACAGCCATATGATCCCATCCTTCCTTCTGGTTCCTTTTGCTGTCCATTTTCCCTTCTTCAACTAGAAAGAAGAAACACGGAGAAAAGAGGTAAGAGACACAACTCTCTAACTTCAAACTGTCCCGAGACACAGGAAGGATCCCAGCAAAGACCAGCATGGTTGCAATTGCAGTCTTTATCCATTTTATCACCTGATTCATCCTGCTTTGTCAAATGAGGTCCATTGAATTATAGTTTACATACACAGACCTCACTCTTTTAAGGCACAGAGTTTAATGAGTTTTGACAAATGCAAATATTATTTAGCTTTTAATAAAAAGCTACAGAACATTTCTACTTCCCATCAAAATTCCCTGATGCCCCTTGTCAGTCAACCTCTACCTCCACTCCTGGACCCCACTGAGCTGAGGGCTGCTGTGAAAAAATACCTTTCCTGGAGACTGTAGGAATAACCAACACAAGATATGATTCTATTTTCTGGCTCCTTTCACTTAGAACAATACTTTTAGAGATTTATTCATGTTCCTAAGTATTTCTCATGTTTTCCTTTACAGTTGAGATTGTTTTCTCTTTAATTTATCTAGTGAATTCTACCTTGGTTTCCAGAGATGAGCTCTACTTGATCATGCTATGTTGCCATCTTTCTGTTGCTCTTTCTTTTTATTTATTCTTTGTGTCTTTCACATCATGCATCTTGATCCCATTCATTTCCCTGTTTCTTCATATCCACCTTCTACTCTTGCAACACCGCCCAAATAAAGTAAGATTTAAGGAGAAAAGTAAAAGAAAAACAACAACAAAGAAAAATCTCATCATGGAAGCTGTAGTGCGACAGTGAGTCACTCAGTAAACCCTTTTGTCCATATATCTTTACTCGTAAGTGTTCATTGCAGAGAGTCATTGGTCTGGTCCAAGGCCTCTGGTTTCTGCTACACTATTAATGCTGGGCCCTCATTGGGACTCCTCTTGGATAGATATTATATTGTCTTATGTTGTGGAGATCCTAAAGGATCAGCCCCTTCACATGCTCTTGCAAATCATAGATAGGGTGAATGTTGGGACGAGCCAACTCATAACCCCGTTTCTGGGCCTGTGTAGTTGCAGGGTTGGTCATCCTGCCAGCTCTCCACCTCCACCCCATCCTCAACATCAGGGCATTGCCTGGGCTAGTTCATCCCTTGTAGGATGAGCAAGGGGTGGGTTTAGTTCCCAGGGTAACTTGACCCACACTGGACAACCAGATGAGGTGCAGGGGCCACTCTCCCGAGTGCTGCAGCTGGTGAGAGGCAGGGCCAGCTCTCCCACCTGCCACATTCGGTGAGGGGAGAGATGCTTGGTTTTTAAAACACTTAAGTTACTGTTTATTTACAAGGGACATAGGAAGGCTTATTACTTTTTAATTGTATATTTCAAAATTTGATGTCATTGTTACACGTGTCTTAATAATGATTGGGGAAAGTTACAATCTCACCTACTTTTTTAAATGCTTGAGGATATTTGTATTATTTCTTTTTTAAAAACTTGGAAAATCCAGCAGTAAATAATTACAAAATCCAAACAGTAAATCCATCTAAGCCATTTGTTTCTTTGAGGGAAAACGTTACTAAACTTTCAAGTTCTTTAGTTTAGGACAATCAATTGTATATTTTTGCTAGGGCACTGTCACAGTTTTGCCATTGATATTCATCCATTTCCCTAATCATCCAGTTATGTTATTCATACAATTACTTCTTTTCTTTTGTTGTCTGTGGGACTATTTCAGTGTCACTATTTTCTTCCTGAATCTAGGAGTATTTTTGTGCATTTTTTTTTTTTGGTCTTGATCATGCAATCTGCAAATTGCGTCTTTTTTAAATTAATTTGGATAGTTAACGTTGGGTGTCACTAGTTTTTCTGCTTCTTCATCATTTAATTAGATGATATCTGCTTTATGTCATTACTTCCTTTTTCTTTTTTTGTAGCTATTTATGTTTTATTTAAAAAAGTTTTATTCATTTTACATACCAACCACAGATCTCCCTCTCATCCTTCCTCCCATTCCCCCCTCCGTCTTCCCCCTCAATCCACTCTCCATCCCCTCCGCCAAAAGGGTAGGTCCTTCCATAGGGGGAAATCAAAGCCTGGTACATTTAGTTGAGACAGGATCAAGCCCCTCCCCCTCCATGAAGGGTGAGCAGGGTGTCTGACCACAGATAATGGGCTCTAGAAAGCCAGTTCATGCACCAGAGATGGATCCTGATCCCACTGCCATGGGCCCATCAAACAGAC